CACGAGTTCTCAAGGAGCAGCTTGGATCTATACACCTGTAGTACGAACATGTCAGTCTTGTGCCTCTAAGTAAAAATGCACTTGGTCGAGCCCTCACGATCGGCTGACCTGTAAGACTGTTTTGTATCCAGTCTGCTTCTCCTCCTCCTCCTATGGCTAGCAGGAGCCTTGTGCAGGAGGAGGTTTGGTCTCCTTCCCAGGACATCTGCCTCAGGGGAGGCAAGAGGCGCAAACAACAGCTCAAAGCAAGTGATGATGAGCTTGACTGAACGTGGTTCAACATTGTTAGTATTTTGGCTGACTAGCTTGCTACACATGGGTCATCTTATCGTTAGTACAGTGTTCCTTGTACATCCAGGACCAACACGGATTGTGAAATCTCCCTGCCCCGCTAAGTTATCTCCTTGCAGTGCCGTTCTATGCCCCTACGAAGAGGAGAAGCAAATCATTGCCGGAGAAACAACGAAATCATGAGAGTGAAATCGTAAACGACTAAGATATTATCAAGGATGGAACATACGCCCTGAAGCACGGTAGGTGGCCTTCTCAGGATTAGACTTAGAAGAAGCTGCAGGATGATTGCCTGTGAGGTTCTGTTGGCTGTCAGCACGGTACCGTACAAGTGTATGTTCACAGTTACACCGCTCGGACATTCTTGAAGCGATGCTACTAGCGCCCATGCCTGCTGTAAGCTTGTCAAAGATCTCTGATCAAAACCCATGGATTGTGAGTGCAGTGCTGATCACTCGAGCGGGGATTGAGAAACAAGCAATGCAAAAGGAAGAAGATCAGAGGAGAGGGGTTGGGAGTTTGAGAGACAAGCGCGAGTATCTAAATTCATTTGAACGAAGTCAACAAGTAATTGAACAAGGATATTCACATGCCATCCAGATCCCAATAGATCCGCACAGAGAAATTCCGAAAGCCACACGATCAACAAATTCTCCTCATCTTCAATCGACGACAAAACCATCTTGTTGTTAACACAAAACCACCACAACCAACCCTCTCGAAGAGTCTTGAACATGCCCACATGATATTCTAGGGTGAAACTGCCTACTAGGCAGCCGCATCACTTGCCTTATGAGCCCTCCACATGCCTCATCGCCTCCTCCAGTAGCCCCCAAGACTCGCAGCACCTCACGTTCCATCGCCATGTCCTCATCGTCTGCTCGACTGCGCAAGGGATCGCAGGAGGTTCGGGCTCGTGGGCTTCATCGTTGATCTGCTGCTGTTGCTGCGCCTTCTTGGCGGCGACATGACTTTGTACCGTCCTATCGTACGGCCACCGCTTGATCCCCACCTCCTTGCACGCTCGCTTCAGCGCCGTCAGCGAGATCCCCTGCTCCCCCCGCACGTCAGCTCGCCGCCCCCGCCAAGCAAGAGAGGAGGAGAAGAAGGACGCGAGACTCACGAGGGTGTCGGCGGCGTCGGCCTGGCGGAGGGGGAGGAGGGGGGCGATGTCTTGGTAGGAGAGGTAGCGGACGGGCTTCTTCGGATGAGAGAGGAGTTGAGAGGAGGGGCGGCGGGGGACGACGCGGGCGGTTGGAGAGGCTGGTGGCAAATCGCTTTGGAGTTGCTTGTGAAGCAAACTAGAAGACGATAACATTTGAAGTACCTTAGGTACCAGGAGGAATCTGAATCGGATCTACAAGGAGGAGGAGGAGGAGGAGGAGGAGGAGGAGGAGGAGGAGGAGGAGGAGGAGGAGGAGGAACTACTATCACGACCAACCCTATGACCACTACTACCACCTTTCTACCACCACTCCTAAAGTAGGAACAGCACGACCCTGCGCTTGACTAGCCGGCTAAACTGGGAATGAAGGAGAGGGGAAGAGATTTCAGTTGTGGGCTTCAATTGAATTCCTTGTAGGTCTGACCCTGAGCTTCCGACGGGTTTGTAAGAGGGCCATCCATCGCAATCTCCAGAACGAATGCTGACACCTCGTTGTAATAACTGTCACGGATACCACAAGATACGGTTTTCACAGCCACATCTGTGGGTGGGTGGTCGGATATCCAAGGGGAGGGTGGGTAGGGTGTTACGACTGTTAGTGACATGACTCGGGACAATAACTTGATATATAGCTCAAATTTTATGTGCAATATATATGATGCATCGCAACTGAAGAGCTCGTTGTGTTGTCAGCTACAGAGTTGCCATCTTGTAGTTTCACCGTCGATCGACGAACAGATCGAAGTCAGGTGTCGATGTTGAGATCGAATGTGAACCTCGGCAAAGCATCGATAACGTTGCCCATCCTGATATTCTTGAGCATTGTGAGTATGAACCTTGTGAGGGTGAACGAGTGGACTGAAGAAAGTGATGATGATGTCAAGATATTTAAAGTCGACTTCATTTCAAGAAAATTCACCATCGATACAAAACTTCTAATCATCAAATGCAGAATTCTCAAGTCCAGTCCTAACCATTCGATCCATCAGCAATACAAGGTTTCGCCCAACATTTTCTCGTCGCCCTCGCTCTCTCATCCTTCTATCTACCTCCTACATGCTTCAGCGCCTCCTCCAGCAGCTCTTCAGTGCCCCCTCCCCCTCTCCAAGTCTTATTCCCCTCTTGCTTCTCTTTTTCACCTCCATTGCTGACTTTCCTCTCCTCGTCCGCGTCCACCTCTCTCGCCTCCATCGCCCTGCTTGCCTGCCCGCCCCTCCTCCCGTACGGCCAGCTCTTGATCCCGACCTGCCTGCACGCCCTCTTGAAGGCTGACAGCGACAACCCCTGAACCATACCCTCCGTCATCTCCTCCATACCCCACCTTGCACCCCGCCCCACCCTTTCCCTCTGACAACCCCTCCTTAACATGGAGAACTTACCAGGCGATCGGCGGCATCGGCCTGGCGGAGGGGGAGGAGGGGCGCGATATCTTGGTAGGAGAGGTAGAGGGCGTGCTTGCGGGGGAGGGCGAGGAGGGTCTGGGAGGAGGAGCGACGAGGGATGATACGGGAGATGCAAGAAACTTTAGGAGAATCAGTTGAGTTGGAGGACATGACGGAGACTCGTAGTGATGGAGGAAGAAAGGTAGGAGGGATGGGTATGTGCAAGACGGAACCAGCTAGAAGTTGATCTGAAGCAGCTGCAAGGGATACGCAGCAGGAAGGGGGGGAGGGGGAGGCGGGAGGCGGGAGCGCCCGCGGGGAAGTCCACCAGTCTATGCGGATCGAATCGGCGCCGGTGACGTGACGCCGGTGACGTGACTAAGAGTAGCGGTGACGTGACTGAGTCCCGGGCCGACTCTCCTGATTGTCCTCGTACCGTCGAGGCTGATTTTTAACTTAACTTTGAGTAAAAGATGAGAGAAGACGGTGACGTGTACTAGCGCGGCCCGGAGCGTGGCGCCCTTCCATCGGCCGGCACATAGGGCAGGCTGGCGCACCGCGCCCGGGCCCGGGCCGGCCGCCGGCTGCGGCCCCGCCCGGCCCGGCGTACGGGCCGCCCGGCCGTATCAGTGATTCATAGTAGGCCCAGGGCCTCCGAGTGCCAGTGACCGCATGCGGGTAATTTCTGATCATCATCGCGGCTCGCCCTCAGCCTAGGCTCAGCTTTTCAATGGAGCGGTGCCGCACTGAAAAACTTCGACAATGCCACGGTTGAAAGTCTGTTTCGGAATCGGGGACCGTGTCGAGCGCGGCAGTTTTCGGCTTACTATTCTGAGAGTCAGGCTTGCTTCCTCCAAACACAAGTTGCACCATGAGGCTCGCCGCTGAGTCGGGTTCCGATTCACAGTGACATCCGATGATCACGGCGCCGGTACTACTAGTAGCGGCCGTCTGAGTGCCCGGGGCCGCGCCCGGCGCCTCCGAGTGCGAACGTTGGAGAAAGGGAGATGATTCTTGCATACGCGGCCGGGGCGGCCGCCGCCGCCGTGGTCACTGTCAGACACATGACCGGCGAACCGAACGGACCGTTGAACTTGACCGGCGTTCATCAACTCAACTTGCCGCAACACAGTGACCTTTCGACAGGGTTCTCACGGACGGGCCGAATTGTCGGGGTCGCTGGCCGTGGCCGCAGTGGGGCAGAAGAACATTCCAAGTTCCACTAGCGGCCACTTCGAACAAGCCTTGATTTCGATCCATGGTGACGAGGAAGTCACAACGGGCTCGGCCCCCCCCCGGGGCGTCCCCGCGGCGCCGGCCGGGCCGGGCCGCGTCGGCCACCGTCACTGCCTGAGTGTCTGACATGGAACCACCCACCAGGAATGACTACCCCTGACGGAGGAAAAAGACGGGTGGTCAAGGAGCTTCGAAAAAGGGAAAGAGTCTCTTTTCGAATTTCAGATACCGAGATCCTTATATGATATCGACTATCACATCCCCCAACATGGCGTGCTGAAGGGGGTGGACAAGGCGGCGATGGCGAAGGGAAGGGGAGGAGGAGAATGAGGAGGAGTAGCAGTAGAAGTAGTAGTAGAAGGAGGAGTAGGAGGAGAATGAGTAGTAGGAGTAGGAGGAGGAGGAGGAGGAGGAGGAGAACAATCAGTAGTAGTAGTAATAGAAGTAGTAGTCGTTGTAGTAGAAGAGGAGGAGGAGGAGAACAATCAGGAGGAGGAGGAGGAGTAGTAGTAGTAGTAGTAGTAGTAGGAGTAGCAGTAGTCGTTGTAGTAGAGGAGGAGGAGGAGGAGGAGGAGGAGAACAATCATCATCATCATCACCATCATCATCATCATCACTCATCATCATCATCATCATCATCATCATCATCATCATCATCATCATCATCAGCAGCAGCAGCAGCAGCAGTAGAAGGAGTAGAAGGAGTAGAATCAGGAGAAAGGGGAGGAAGAATCAGGAGGAATTGGGTGTGTGCAGAGGGGGAATATTAGTGAGGAAGGCAGTCCCGAGTGCTTGGAGAAGTAGGACAGAGAGAAGAAGACTACAAGTCCATCTCTCTCCTCTAAGCCTTTCTTCATGTTCATGTTGACGCATGAAACAGAGTTTGTTTGTTGTCAATCATTGCAGTGAATTCTTCTCTTTGTTTCAGCTCTCAAGGCATGTTGACAAGTCTGCGGAGCAAGGCAGTCATAATCTCAGGTTCTGATCTATCTTCTCTAATCTTCATCAGCTCTTGTCTCTACCTGTTCATCAAAGATCTTCTTTCCTGATCTTTTTTCCTGACCTTCTTTCCTGCACCTTCTCCCTGCTAGTCTCCTGCCTGGCGACCTCCACCTTGATCAGTTTGCTCTACGATGTTCTCCGCAGATCGAAGATTTACTCTGCCGATCTGTAAGGCTCTTTCCTCCTTGTTTCTGACATGCCTTGAAATGCGGCATGGCAGGGAAAAGGAGAAGAAAGGAAAGCGGATCCCCTACCTGACGAGCTTCCTCAAGCTTGACCTCCAGAACCTGCGCAAGGCGTTGAGGTGAGGGAAGGGGAGGGAGGGAGGGAGGCAGGCAGGGAGGCAGGCAGGCAGGGAGGGAGGAGAGGTTGTTTGGTTACTTTGCTTTCATAAGACGGTAGGAGAAGCTCTCCGGGAAACTGGAGGAATCTTTGCCTTCTCCTCTCCTGCCGGGAAGCCGTTTGTGATTGTGAACAACGAAGACATCTTGAAAGACATCCTAGTTCATCATGTTGCAAGGTAAACATGCGACGTTGACATGTGTGTTGTTAAGATTGCGTTGTTCTCCTCACTTGGTTTCTCCCGTCCAGGTACAAGAAGCAGCATGCCAACGGTATTCTGGAGCTGTTCAGGAAGACAACACTGCCCAACAGTCAGTCTCCTGCATGGCGTCCAGTTCATAAGGTGACATGTGATGAACATGGAAGATTGTTGTATTTGAAGATTATGAAAGAAACAGAAAATAGCAAAGACTGATGGCAAAGAGGAGAGAGAAAGTATGATGATTATTTTTGATGTGATGATATGGATTGTGGGGCCGATGATGGTGGAAAAGAAGAAGATGATGATTGTACACTGACTTTCTCAGAGGAGGAGCAGGAGCAGGAGCAGGGGAATGGGGAGAGAGGAGGAGAAGAAGGAGGTCAAGGAAGGAGAGGAGGAGAAGGAGGTCAAGGAAGGAGAGTAGGAGAAGAAGGAGGAGCAGGAGAAGGAGGAGCAGGAGGAGCAGGAGGAGCAGGAGAAGGAGGAGCAGGAGGAGCAGGAGGAGCAGGAGGAGGAATCTGAAGGGAGAAGAGGAGTAGGAGTGATAGTAAGAAGGGATGGAAACATTAGAGGGCGAGATGTGGTACCGATGAGTACTGAGTATCTTGATATTTCCTTGCGCTACATCGCAGCTAGCAAGCAGGATGTGCTTTCATTCTGTGGAGAAGGTGAAAAACATTTGTCTTGGTGTTCTTTTCCTCCTCTCACCCCAGTGTGCAGGAACAAAAACTTTTGTCGCTCGTCGACGAACTTTGTGTGATGATCAAGAAGGAAGAAGACAACGTAAGACCACGTTAGACAACGACAACGTTCAAGAGCATCCTTCCTCCGACCCCCCTCCTTCTCCTCTCCTTCTTCGTCCTTTCCTCGTTCTCTCCTGCTCCTTCTCCTCTCCTTCTTCGTCCTTTCCTCCTTCTCTCCTCCTTTCCTCTTCCTCCTCTTCCTCCACCTCTTCTACTCTTTATTCTGCTCCCTCTCCCTCCATTCATCTTCTTCTCTTGCAATCCTCTGACTCTCTTTGCAGCGCAAAGTCAATCTCAGCGCCCTGCTCACGGACTGGTACTGGAAGGTGACAAGCTTCCAGCTCCAGCTCGTGCTCCTGCTCCTGCTGCTCCTGCTGCTCCTGCTGCTCCTTCTCCTCTAAATCTCTCCCAGGTTACTCTCTTTCTGGTCCTCGGCGAAGTTCCACAAGGATTCCCTGATGCCTACCGGTAAATCTCGTTACTCCCCCACAAACCCCTCCTGTCCTGTCGTCTCCTCTCCTCTTCTTTTCTCTCCTCTCCTCTCCTCTCCTCTCCTCTCCTTTGCTCTACTCGTAACTGTTTCATAGGGACGCCTGGCTTGCCTGCATCGATCGCTTGAGTTCTCCTCTCATCAACTCCTTCTTTTTCTACAAGTTCATCCCAACCCCTGCAAACCTCTGGTACAAAACGATGCTGGTGCTGGTGCTGGTGCTGCTGGTGCTGCTGGTGCTGCTGGTGCTGGTGCTGCTGCTGCTGCTGCTGCTGCTGCTGCTGCTGCTGGTGCTGCTGCTGGTGCTGCTGGTGCTGGTGCTGGTGCTGCTGCTGGTGCTGCTGCTGGTGCTGCTGCCTGGTGCTGCTGC